GGTATAGTATCTCATAAATCATGGATTTGTTAGACATAATATTGAAAGATAGAATTATTAGATCATTTCTAGTCAAAATTAAAGCAGTAATTGGCATCAGATGTTCAAACTCTCGTACCCTTTATTTGTTGTACTAAAAAAATATCATTTCTAAAATTTAAAGACTTATTAGACGTGTACACAATCAATCAAACTTATGATTTAACATGCTTAAATTAAATTTATCAGAACCTTTCATTCATATTAACTTTGGAAAAATATTTGGCTCATTGCCAGTACTAATCTTAGAATTTTAAAGAATAATAAGTTATCATTCGGATTAACACGAAAGGTTGTTTCTTTTGGTTGATATGCACAGATATAGCATTTCTCATTCTAAAGTGGAACAAGTCATTAGCACTGGAACGGGACTCCAACCAAGATACACCCTTGCATATTATGGCCCGAAACTCATATAAGATCGGTACCAAAAATAAGCCAACCAAGTGGCGATCAATATTATCTCGGATGAATTGCGGTTAGTGTTACCAATTATTGTTGATCTAGGTTCAATGTTAGCGTTCACAATCACAATTATACCTTATTATACATTATTGCACTTACACTTTTCTTCCAAATATCTTTTTACGAACATTCATGCAGTTCCAACCTACTTAGGTATCTCTATTATAAATCCTTGTATTTTCCGTATCAGATCTTTTTTAACACTTTTATTAGTTTCAAGTTAAAATTTATGTGTGCAGGGAGAAGAATGATGCAGATAGAGCGCACCAAATGGTTGAACTGATGTGGGAAGTTGTTGTCGATAAAGTTAAAAAAGAAAACGTAGTGGATTTCATTAAACATCCCTCGAGCATGCTACACGACGCGGCAAGAGTTGGGAATGTTGATTTTCTAAGAGTGTTATTACGTTTATTTCCTGATCTTGCATGGAATATTGACGATAAGGGGAAGAACATATTTCACGTAGCAGTTGAGAATCGACGAGAGAGTGTGTTCTGTTTAATCTATGAAATGGGAGACTTCTTAGACTTCTTGGATTGTTTGCCATATTATTTTGACGAGGAAAACGTCAGCCTGCTTCAATTGGCCGCCAAAAAGCCTGCTAAAAGTGATCTTAACCGAATTTCTGGCGCAGCCTTTCAAATGCACAACGAGCTCCTATGGTTTAAGGTACCTTCTAAAACCCAACTAGAGAATTCATTCATGCTATATTTTTTTAATTTCAAAGACTTCATTTAATAAAGATATTATATATTTTGTTTTAAATTTTAATTTTGAAATTTTAGCCAATTTAAACGACAAAAATAATTTTCTTTTTATTTTAAAATTTGTTCTTTTGTGTAGCCTAAATTAAATAAGAAGATAATTCCCTTGAATAAACTAATAACAATTTGAGTAACCTAAATATAAGAAGTTTATTAGTTTGTTTTACTAAAAATTATTAATATTTGTGGGTCCTATCTCATGATCCATTGGGAATGAGAGGGGTAGTTCATGTTTATTATAAACTTTTGTTACATTCTCTCGTCTGTTCATCTATCTTGGCCGGATCTCATTCTTAGACCGAAGACTCGTTTGAACTTTTGAACTATGATACCATATTAATATTCATGGGGTTTAAGTTTGGTTGGAGTGCAATAATCAACCTTTCATAGATTCTTCAAAAGCTATTCAAAAGTTTATATCATCCTTATTGGATGCCATCATAGTTCTTGCCTCCTCATGGTCATCAAAATCTACTCTTTTTTTGTAATAATTATGATATACCTTCCATTTCCTAGCCTTCCTTTTCTGTATGTTTTTCACCTACTTTAATGAAATGGTTCTGGTATTTTTTTTTTAAACAAAATATTCATGGGTTACCTCTCATAACCCAATTGACAATGAGGAAGTAATATGTTATAAACCTTTGATAGGTCCTTAATAATGCAGGATCCTTAACAAAAATATATATTTGACTTTAAGTAGGGTTTGAAGTTTACAACTTGTGTATTGGTGTATTCCTCACGTTTTGTGGTCCTAACAAGGGAGTGGAGAAGATAGTGGGGCTTACTTTGAGTAGAAACATAGGGAAGCAAACAGCACGAGAAGTATTCACCCAAGAACACGAAGAGCTGGTGAAAGAAGGAGAAAAGTGGATAAAGGAGAGAGCAAGATCATGCATGGTGGTTGCAACTCTAATTGCGACAGTAGTTTTTGCTGCAGCCTTCACTGTACCCGGCAGCGTCAACAACAACACAGGCTTTCCCATGTTTCTTCACGACAAGTGGTTCACCGCATTTGTGTTGTCGGATGCAATAGCCATGATCGCATCTTCAACTTCAATACTGATGTTTTTGTCAATCCTCCCGTCGTGCTGTGCAGAAGACGATTTCTTCTTCTGGTTGCCTTATCTTTTGGACATCGGTCATGCGACACTCTTCGTTTCTGTAGTGACTATGCTTCTGGCTTTTGGGGCTGCCTTTTTCCTCTACTATGGAACAGATACAGCTCCTGTTCCATTGGCCATTGCCTGTGCCATGGCGCTTAATCAACTCCATGCTTCTATCATACAGCTAAACCTGTGGGCTGATGCATTCCCAAAATTAAGGACTTATTGGTTTTTTCTTGTGAAGAACCGAACTTCTGATCTAATCAGGTTGCTCTCATCAACTTAGGAAGCATAGGTTTTTTTTCCAACAGGAAGCTTGGAAGAGAGATGGTTGTTGTTGAGATCTTAATCCTGATCGTGTCGTCCTTTCAAAAGGGGTGCAAGACGAGGATTTTTCAAATGGTCATCCAACTTAGTAATACTCTCACTCACGCAAGCTTAACTGTGTAATTATGATGGAATCCAGTACATTAGTATTGGTATGATCGCACCCCTAGTCGTGTCCTTTATTCGAGGGTTAATAGAATATGATATTTACAGTCATTTCCCTCGCTCCTCTCAATATTGACAGCTTGGTATAGGACATATTGCTATGGGTCACTTGATAAATTGAGGAATTTTTCAATTGGCTCTTTCTCTGAAAGACTCGTTATTTCTTCCCTTTGTAACTTCTCCTCCACTGAAAGCTTTGAAGCTCCAATTTTTTTTTTTTTACAAGATATATCTTTGCCATGTTCCTTTACCTCTCAAAATTGATGATTTTATTGAGGAAGGGCCTTATGATAATAGCCTAAATCGAAGTATTTTTGAAGTTTAACGCAATTACCGCTATCATCTCACATCTTTAGCTTGATCTATTCTATAATTTAACTCACTTTTGGGAAGAAATTGTTACATATGCCTCAACTTTGGTCCACAATATCAACTTTATTTTATAATTATGATATATTCTTAATTGGAGTACTTTTATATAAGTCTCTTTAGCCTTGCACACTTGAATATATTAATTTCTTAAAAAGAAGGAGAAAAAAAAAACTCTTCAATTCTTATCATCGTAAGGGACATGATGGGTGAGATTGACTTATTTTTAAATATAATTTTAAGTAGATAAGAGTTCGTTCCTCATTTTGAGGATAATACAAGTTTTATATTATTAATTAGTTTAATTTCTTTCAAAATAGGAGGGCAAAAGAGTATTCAAGTATTAATCATGGGTCTTTCCGGGAAGAACTAGTGAAATGGAAATGTTGTCTATTGTTTTGAAAATGTTGGTTTACATTTTTTTTTTCTTTAATTAAACTTGTTAATCAATATTCCCATAGAATCGTTTTTTTTTTTTAAGTTATGTTATGCTATATTAATAAGGCATCAACGTGAGCATAGTTCAAAATTAAAGTATTCTGTTCTTTTTTCAGAAGTCGAAGTTCCAATCTTCCATCTCCATATTTGGAGTACTAAAAAAGAAAAGAGGTGATATTTAGTTTTAGCTAACCCTATTGAATTTATGAACCTTAGACTTTGGTTTAAATTTGTATGGTCAGGATTAAATTGAATGAGTTATACAAATTTGAATTTGTATAATGTATAGACATAAAATAGTAAGTGAGCGGGAGTAGGCTTACATAGGAATTTATTAGAATTTTGATTTGATCCAACAGTAGCTACAGCTACAAGGCTACACCACAAAAAATTGAAATTGGAGACGATCGACTTTGGGGGCGCCAATGGACAGCACACAGCACAATAAAATACAAGCAAAAGGAGAAGCATGCGATCGGCTTGGGCAAATGAAACGATAAAGGGGAGAATAAATAATTTTAAATAGGGACAAAGTATAAATGTTAACAACAAAATCTTTGTTAAAATTCATTTTAAAAAAATAATAATAATTTTAAAAGCAATTTTTTTCCAAACTATTTTTGCTTTGATTGAGTTGACGTTTTGACCCGACATAATACGCTAGCTATAAAACATGTAAAATCGAGGTTTAATTGTTTATATAATTGTTGCAATTAAATCGTAACACTCTAATTTAGTGATTGATTGTAAATTGCATAAATTGTCACCACTAAACAATAAGGATGTGGACTTTATTATGGATTTCTGACCACATTTTCGATAGGTCCCTCTTATCTCTTCCTTCCCATGCATTCAAAACAGTCAAACTAGTTACAATTTAACTTACAAATTTTCATTCTATAAAATTTTAGAACTATAATATTAACCTTTAAAATATTAGTTTAAATGTAATTATAATTCTATATATAGTTGGAGATTTGATGGTAGAATTAAAAAAAATTAAGTTAAATGGCCTAATGATTCTAGACTTTTAAAAATTTATGGAATTAAAATTTTGGATTAAATCGTAATAATTATTTGAAGTTTGAATGTATCGGTTCTTTGACTGTGGCGATTCTTAGAGTCTAGGGTTGACTTTTGTGATTTGCAATCTGTCACTATTATAATTAGAATTTAGTTTAATTACAACAATTTCCTAAGTTTAATTAGGAGAATGATTGATTATATTGGATGGTAAATTCATGGGTGTGATTGTGATTGTAACTATAAATTTAAAACATGATTTTTGTAATTAAAATTTTTGAGCAGGATTGTAATAATCTCTAGTACAACCTGAGATGGGGTTGGAATACAACTGAGTTAATATTTGCTTTTATTAATTCCAATTGTTGAACTATCCACAAAAACATCACTGTGTATCTATATTTACTAACATGCCCCTAACATTCAAAACATATATTTACATGCAGATGGTGCAAAATTAAGAGGGTTGTTGTTTTGGAAAAGATTTTGTTTTGTCAATAAACTAGATTTAAGTGACCAAATATATAAACATATAATGATTTATTAGAATAAACAGAAAAGGAATTTTTTCTTTTAACTAATTGAAAATAGAAAATTTCAAAGTTAAATTTTACATTCATATTGAAGCACAAGTAGGGGCAATCCAGGTACAAAAAATATGAATAAATGATAGATAGGTACATTACATTCTTGTAAATATCTATGAATCCATATAATGTGACAAATCTAAAAATATTTTCAGTAAATTGACAATTTCTACTGTAACATCGGGTTGGGTCTGTTTAATTTAAATGGCCGTGGCCCCCTCCATCTGACCCGCTCTGCTTGGGTCATTGTTGGAACAGCTCAATTGTGACTCATGAGTGGGTTAATTCTCTCACCTACTCCGGGCTCTGGGCTCTGTTTAACCCCTCTGTAAATACCCTTTCTTTTTACTTGAGATATATGTGAGTGGTAGAGAGAGCTCGTGATAGAAAAATTATTCAATCTGACCAGTGACACTGTAGCTATACTTCTATTAATATAGTTGAATTGATTAAGACATTTATTTACTGTTAAAAGGTCATAGTTTGAATCTTCGCTCAAATTGTTATAATACTCGAGAAAAAAAATGATCCTTATGGTTTAGCCTCTAATAGGAGACTTTTTGACGTATCTTTAGAGTAGCAAAGTTACAAATGTCAACACCGACAAAAATGTAAAAAAAGAATTAAAAAATTATTAAGGTATTAATATTATGTTTAGTCTGACATTTTGTATACTTCTTTCACATCACTCTTTTAGCTTGGATCCTCTAAGGTTTTCTCTCTTTATTTCATTATACAAAAATAATTCTCCATTTTGATATCAATATATTACATAATTCCTCAAAATTGATAGAGTTATTGAAAGTTTCAATACTTATTATACATCTTATTAAGATGTGGATATGAGTATGTTCACTTTGATTTTCGTTGTCATTAGCATAAGTGTGTTGAGTTTTGTATGAGAGCATCAACGAAGAGATCTATTTGTTTGATATAATTATTTAATCAGTTTATGTTTCTTAAAAGTATAAATTCCAATCCAAACATAATAGATTATCCAATTTTGTAAATAAATTATTATAAAACTGAAACTAATTTGAAATTTTCCTAATCATAAATAAAAGGTTTTCATCTAATAAATGCACAACGAAGTATGAAAGCTGGACTTTTCTTTCTTTTTTTTTTTTTTCCTTCCTTCTTCTTTAATTTGTTTTCTCTTGCTGCCAAAGGAAGGGAAACTTCAAACTTGGTTTACTTTCTCTAATATCCAGTCGTTTTGTTGGAGACACTGATCGACTTCCAGGAAGGAGAGTAATTGCGTTTAACATTTCTAAGCTGAAACTTTTCTAATACTTCCATTTTTTCGAAAAGAAAAAAGAAATATAGCGTAAATTACTTATTGCAAGTGTATGAGTCAAGTCACGTAAGAAAGTTGACGTGGTGGCAGTCACGAGCTCAAAGCCTCGCAACTTCCACAAAGTGGTGTGGAAAGTTCAGGGTACGCGGTTTGAGCGGACCTATTGCAAATGTATATTTGTACGTAGACATGGCGAGGTGTTGCAGTTGCAGAAGGGTTTTGGTTTTAGTTTCCAATTGATCCAAATACGATGATGCCCTGGTCCCGTAGCAGTAGCAGCTGGAGCTGGTATTCTTCAAATGGATCACCAGAAACGAATGCCAATGCCAATTCCAATAATGAGCATCTGCCCATCAACAACAACGACCTTAACCACAGAACTAATCCAAAACTCATCGTTGCTCTCCATAATCTCATGGCCTGGGCTAAATCTATTCTTCCTACCTTCAATGTTCCCAGCTGTAAGTGCTGCTGCTCTTTTTCTTTTATTCTATTTCATTTCTTTGCTTCGTTATTATATCTATTTATAAGTTTGAATTTCGATGATGGATTGTGTCGTCTACAATTATAATGATTTTATTTTGCTGCTAAATTTATTCTATTCACCCGTCCAAGTGCTGCTGGTTATTTTGATTTAAATAAATGTGTGTCGTTAATTAATGTGTTGATATTATATATGATGTCAAACTGTTAGTTGGATGGGAGAATTTGGGCCAAAGAAAGTATGTCAATTAGATAAGATGGGGATAGGGAGCCACAGGGGGCTCCAATCACCTTTTTTTTTTTACCTACTCACCCTTTATTCCTACTTTTTTTATTAGATGCATTTTATATTCAATAACTTATTACCCAGAACTTTGAAAATTTAGTGAAAAACAAAAGAGAGTGAAAATAATAGTAGAGTATATTTTCATAAATATCCCTCTTGAAATGCATTAATTGCTATAGTTATACCTATAAACTTGTAATTATAAAGGTTAAAGAAAGTGAAAGTGTTAAAAATAAAAAACTTTGATTTTTTTTTTTTTGAGAAGATACCCACCATTCATTAAGAAGTAGGTGAGAAACATACCAACAAAAGGAAAGCAATAGAGAGGCTTTCCAAAGTGAGGTTGGGAGGTACATGACAAGAAGGGAATTATAAGAATGTTTTCTCAAAGGGAGGGTGGAAACATTGTAATCACAAAAAAATTTTGATTTAGACGACCATGAGGAAGCTGCAACTCTTATGCCTTCCCATAGATGATTAAGCAGCTTCTCCTTGTCGCTAGAGACCCGATTGTTACGCTCCAATCATATTATCATAAAAATTAGACTCTCAAATTATCATAAATATGAAAAATTGGGTCCCCTCTCTCTTTTCTCTCTTTTTTTTCCCCTTTCATTTATATGATAGTTTGAAAGAAAAGTAGTTTATTTTTGCATTCTCGTGAGTGCAACTATAATAATCACTATACTTCAAGAGTGGTTTATATAATTTATTCAAAATAGTGATAACAAATACAATCTTCATATTTGGTACAAACGAGACGACAGTAGGACTCGGAAAATTTGAAACTTATTCTACCTAAAATAATAATAACAATCTTCATAGYTTCGACCTATGAACATTAGACCTCTAAAATTTTGACAAGGATATTTTTTTTTTCAAAAAAATAAAGAGTTGTGTCAAACTCTCAGTGGTTATCAGCAAGAAAGATGAGTGCTAACAGCCCAGTGTTTAAATTTGATACATAGTTTAAAATAGTGAGGATAATTTTTATATTCAACATATGTATACACTACATATAGTAAACCATCACTCAACTTCTAGAACCAAAATCTTAAAGAGTTAGATAAATTGAATCTTTTATAGGTATCTTAACAACGCACCAAACTCAAAAATTTTAATATTTTAATGAGATCAACTTGTGTATTAAATATAGGGTGTGTTGGATTCATATTTATCAACTGTTTTTCAGGGAGCAGGCGATCATTAAGCAACGATTGGGCGTACGAGCACCAGCTATGCAAAGCTGCGAGCGAGGGCGACTGGGAAGCTGCAATGAAGATCGAAGAAGAACAATCAGGAACCCTATCAAGGGTTATAAACAATGATAGACAAGAAACGGCTCTCCACATAGCCACCAGATTCAACCAGGCTGCATTCATAAAGGAGCTGGTTGAGCGTCTCAACGATCAAGATCTGGCCTCCAAAAATAGATGCGGAAACACTGCCCTTTGCATCGCTGCTACTTCAGGCGCTGTTGACATTGCCAAGTTAATGGTGCGCCAGCATAGCGGTTTAGCTCTCATTCGTGGGTCCAAAGGCACAATCCCACTTCTAATTGCAGCAAAATACAAAAACAAGAACATGGTTTCCTATCTCCTCGATGTAACGCCCTTGGATGGTTTGAAAGTTGAAGAGCAAGTAGAGCTTCTTTTTGGTGCCATCTCTGCCGATTATTATGGTTCGTCTCTACTTTCTACCGAGTTACACGTTAATTTGTGTCGTTCTAGTAGAGAATAGAGATACATAAATGAACATATACCATCTAAATAAGAGTAATTTTGAGAAAATGTGGAGACCACTAAGAGCTAAATCCAGTTATTCCAAATAATCTTGGTCTATGTTGGGTTGGTAAGGTGTGCAAATAAAATTTCATGGAAGAGAGTGATTCATGGTATATAGATTAGGACAATTATCTCCTACGAAACCTTTTAAGTGAAACCAAAGCAAAATCGGTTATGCCCAAAGCAGAGTACAATAGCAAGAATAGCGTTGTCCTTTTAACACTTTGTAGGAGTAAATTAAATGCATGCATGGCTCATCTTGTTTCTTTTTTCTTTACAGATATAGCTTTGGTTATTCAAAGTTGCAACAGGTCGTTAGCACTGCAACGGGACATCAATGAAGATACACCCTTGCATATAATGGCCCGAAAGTGGAACGCGATTGGCACCAAAAATGAGCCAACCAAGTGGCAATCATACATCAATAGCGGCTGTTAGTTCTTTTTTACTCCAAAAAAAACCGGATTATAGACAAGAGTTCACTCTCACGGCTTACTTTATTTAGGTACTGACACCATTTTTGAAATTTTATTAGGGTCCAAATTTATGTACAGAAAGACAATGATGCAGATCCAAGCCCGTGAAATGGTTGTACAGATGTGGAATACTGTTAAAAGCAAAACGACTTCAAAAGAAAAGCTGTTGGATTTCATTGAACATCCGTCAAGCATGCTACACGAGGCTGCAAGAGTTGGAAATGTTGAATTTCTGAATGTATTACTCCAAAAAGATCCTGATCTTGTGTGGAGAGTCATCGAAAATGGGAAGACCATACTTCACGTAGCTCTAGAGAATCGACAAGAGCGTGTCTTCAAATTAATTTATGAAATGGGCCTCATCTACAAGGATGACTTGCTATGCTACTTCGATGAGAAAAAAATCAGCCTGCTTCAATTAGCTGCCAAAAAGCCCGACCCAATTCATCTCAACCGAGTCTCCGGAGCAGTCTTTCAAATGCACCGCGAACTTCTCTGGTTTCGGGTATATAAAATTATCTGTCTTGTTCTATCTTTCTCTTTCTCTGTTAATGATGCTACTCAACTTTCTTCATATATTAGATATCTAACATTTTCGTATTTTTGTGTTTCTAAATCGCCAAATTTACCTGAAATGATAGGATGTGGAGAGTATGGTAGAGCTTACAATGACAATAAAGAAAGGGGAGCAAACACCACATGAATTATTCACCCAAGAGCACAGAGAGCTCAAGGAAGAAGGAGAAAAATGGGTGAAGAAAACGGCGAATTCGTGTATGCTGATCGCCACTCTGATCGCCACCGTAGTTTTTACAGCAGCCTTCACGGTTCCGGGCGCCAAAAACGAGCACACGGGCTTTCCCATATTTCTTCACCACAAATGGTTCACTGTGTTTTTGATATCAGATGGGATAGCTTTGATCTCATCTTCAACTTCAATACTGCTGTTCTTGTCAATCTTGACATCGCGGTGTTCAGAAAATGACTTTCTGGTGTGGCTGCCACTGGAGTTGGTGTTGGGCCTTGGATCGCTCTTCCTCTCCGTATTGGGCATGGTGCTGGCTTTTGGTGCTGCCCTCTTCTTGTACTATGGCAAAGATACGGCTTGGATTCCATTGCTGATTACTGGGATGGCCATTGTTCCAATTTACTGGTTTGGTGTGCTGCAATGGAAACTTTGGGCAGATGCATTAGCAGCGTTACGTGGATCATTACATGCCATTGGGCTGTCTCGCTTGTTAAAAAATAGGAAGACCAAGGTATTCTGATGAATCATTCTTCTTCCTCTTCTTCTTTTTCATCTTCAATTGAACTTTGTTGATTGTTAGTTATACTTTCCTATATTATATAAATTATGTAAACATGGTTAAAATTAGTCGACCGCAAATTTAATAGTTCTTTATTATTAACTAATGATTTCGGACTACCATCCATACTCTGTTGAAAATTCATATAATTAAATTTGTTCAACCTATTATTCATCCTTAACATGGTATAAAAGTTTCATGTTCAAACCTCAACATTGAATTAAATTTATCCAGCTGATAGATATTGGGTTGAGTAATAATTTATTCATCTATAACAATACTCAAACGTGATTCAATTATAACGAAAGGTTTAGGTGTAAAATGTTTATGAATATTAAAGTAGATCGAGTGTTTATTTGTTATAGAAAAAAAGTACAAAAGTTTAGATAACGATTTGTCCCCTAATAATTAAGGTTAAGAGAAGAATAGTTCAGTAGGAATTCGTCAAATCTTGAGCGGAGACCTGTTAATTTAGAAAGAAATAAATAATAAATTATCCCGGCATTTGTTAGGTGCTCTACTTATTTATTCGAAAATAAGTCACTTATACAAAAAAATAAATAAATAAAATAAAATGGAAGCTTTAGCAAACAGAAGATAGCTACATCTTCCAACAAATGCTTCTGGGAAAGTTCGTATTCGAAGGCGGCTCCATGTGCATTACTTCGATGGTTACCCTTTGTTTGGGGAAGGGAATACTCTGGACACGTGGAAGACCCCTATTGGTGCTCCAAGATGACTCATGAATCATGCCCAGCTCGGAAGGCCGAGATGGCCGCCACCAACGCCGACAAATGCCAAGTGTGAGGGCCGAGGTGAGCCTGGCCCAGGTCCGACCCACCGAGGAGCTCGGTATGGGCCGAGATGCGCAACTGTCTGCGGCGTGATTATCGGGCATAACCGTCGGTCCCGAGATTACCGGATGTAACCGACAGTCCCGAGATTACCGAATGTAACAATCGCTAGATTAGCGGGACCACCACCCATAAGTAGGGGACCTCACTCCCCGATCAGGTACGATGATGYCTGGCTTCGAACTAGACTTGGAATCCGACCTATACTGACTTGATCGTCGGAGTGCTCACCTTTTTGTGCAGGTCCGCCCAAGTGGTCAGGTCGGTCCGGAGGCCGGGTTCGAGCTACAACCAGGAACACACTGTTGTGCACATCTTTGCATAAACATTTGGCGCCGTCTGTGGGAAACGACTGACAATCTGAGTCATCCCAATTCCTTTAAACCAACACGCGAGCGAACATGGTTCAACCAGCGAATTCGACCAATACGACGGATCGAAGGACTCT